AATCTGAAGAAAGTTACCTCTGCTAAGGCATCCGCTGACCTCTCAGACAGATTAGCTTATCGCCGTTGAAAAGACTTACTTACGCAGTAGTGGTGATCGCTCCGTGCGAGTAAGCCACCGCTACCATCATCGCTCAAATCGTAAGGGCTGCCTGCCGGTCAGGGTGTTTGAAGCAACTCATAATTACCGATATTAAAACAAATTCAAATCAGTTATTTAAATTATATCAAAACCAGTTCAACTACTAATTGTGCCAAATAAATGAGTTTTTTTGCCGACGTTGAGCAACGCACGCAAGGCTTCTGTGATAAGGTCAATGTCGCTTATATGTTCGGTTTGTTCACGCCCTGGGTTCGGAATTTCACCCGAGGACTTGTTCCAAGTGTTGTTGTGGCTCGTTCTTAAACACTCTTCCATTTTAACGTGCTCTTTCCCAATACAAATCAGTGATTAGGAGCTGGTCAACGCTTTTTGTCTTTTTGAAAAAAATCGCATTTGCATCCCAGATACCGTGGGTGGCATACCAACAGAGCGCACTAAATTGTCACGGAGGGAGGGCAGGAAAAAAATCGATGGTCAGAATGCTACTGGTTAAAAGCCATCCACCGATAATTCGTTCGCTTGCTGGAACTGGCTTATAACTAGGTCCCCATACCACCTGCAAATTGAGAAATGTTTAAAGCCATTTACATGATTTGACGACAAAAAGATGTGCAGTAGAGAGATGCCTTGAGGTGTGTATCGTGTAGCCATATTCTCAGCCATATTAGTCACTTAAGGGTGCCAACTTTCGACCGAGTTTATTTTCAACCATCTCGAAGAACGGTATTCTCTTTGATTTAAGATGCCTTCGTAAATTCAGCCCTACTTAATAGGAAACATGTATAAAAATATGCTTTCTGATTCCCATGTTGCAGAGAGTTACACCGTCTTTGGATTTATATTCCAAGCATGACTATACTTTCATTTTTCAATAATTTTTAAATTATAAGATTTTATTGTCGTGAAATGGCCAATCATAAAATATTTGATTTGTGTTTAGTGTTGTGCGTTATAAAGTAGACGACATGGTCTACTTCCATTGCAAAATTGTATGTTTATTAAATTACTCCCATTGGTAGCAATTTCCGTAGAAGGCATGTATTCGACAGAGAGTGTGGGAACACTGAATGACACTGTGAATCCGGGTCAGGCTCAGAACTTTTCCGAAAGAAGATGCGTCCTTGAATGCCGAAAGATCTCATTTCTTCAAGTGCAATCTTTCAAGTGAATGTGATATGCTAAAAAATGAGTACTGGAACAACTTTTTTTCAAGTTTGTTTGCTAAAATCTCGATTTTAATATTTCTGGGCATAAGAAACTAGGGAGAAAAATAAATGATACTTAAGTATTCGTTCGTGTGGAGCTTATTTTGGGCAGCAACCCATACGTAAGCTTGTTCACGATCCGCCACTGTGAAATGATTCGCATATCTCAAGATTGTCCTGCACAGTGCTTAATAGTAAAATCCTACCTAAGTAATATTTTAGAAGGAAAAATATGCATGAGAATTAAGAAGAAGATGCCTCGCTCGCTGGGATAATAATCTTCTTCGCCTGACGTTTTGAGGTCCGTCTCAGATTCATTGCTAGATACATAAGCAGAAAGCAGTAGCAGATACGGGTAGCATATGCATAGGAGTTTGCAGTATTTATAGGATGCAGTCATTACTGCAAACATACAAAGTTAACTAACGGTAATTGCCTTCTTGCGCGTTTATAGTTTGTCGACCGGCATGCGGGCTCTTACGTGCTGAACTTTCATCCCGCGTGGTGGACCCTGCGGTGGTGATTACTCGGCCATCTGGTCCTCCGGTCTTTGCGTAAGACGACGTGGTGGCCTGTCCGTTCCCCAAGTGGTGACTTGTTTTGGCCAAATTGAGTCCCAGCACCGCATATGACTTGTTTATGTGTCTGATCATGAATCTGTGACGGATCTCAAAACGTCAGGCGAATCAGATTATTATCCCAGCGATCGAGTCATCTTTTTCTGAATTCTTATAGATATTTTCCATTCGAAAATATTACTTAGGTAGGATTTTACTATTTAACATCGTGCAGCACAATCTTAAGCTATTTCAATCATTCCACAGTCGCGGATCGTGAACAAGCTTATGTATGGTTTGCTGCCCAAAATAATCTCCGCACGAACGACTACGATCGAGTTGTCTTCTTCTTAGTTACTTCCTGGAACTCCCATGTTCCCTTGTATTGGCAATACATTTGAATGTCCGTTTCTGTTTCATAAGAGAGAAAATTGTATTTGAATGTTGCGTTACACATTATTCCCGCCTGATCTACTCCTTTGTAATTCTCTGTGAGATCCAAGTACTGCCCAGCATCGCCGACAGATCAC